TGTCAAGAATTAAATCTAGGACCCCAAGTATTATCCCTAAATTTCTACTGCTTTCTGCAGAGTTAACTTGGCTATGCAGTTCTTTAATAATCTAGTGCATTACTGTTTTCTAATCTTAAAACATTTTCTCAGGGTTGTTGAAAGAAAGTTTGAATCCTTATATCAAAATTTTAAGAGGAAGACAAGATTAAGCATGGAGCTATTCTAAAAGCTCACAGACAACAGTTTTGCCAGGTTTATAGATTTCTTTGTATCTCCTCACTCTAATTTCCCCTGCAAGTCAAGACTAATAGCCGAAGAAGCAAGATACTTAGTAAAGTCCCAGAGTATGACCCAACATCACTTCTTCTGGTTAAATAGTCTAGTTTTAAGGGAAAAAAAAACCACCCCCAATTGGCTCATCAACTGTTCTCTAAAGACATAAAAGACAGCAGCAGTGTAGGTGCGAATGGAACTGTGTGCCCAGGAACTGTCACTGCCTCTGCAGTTTGGTCAACACTAAACTGTTCATTTGTGCCTTGTAGGCATTTTTGTCTTCAGATGACACTCCCATGGTAAGAGAAAGTGAGCAGGTGTGCCTATTAAATATGTAAAATACATATCTTCTCTTCCACTCATTCAGAAGATGGATTTCTAAAGGGTATGGAAAGTCACCTAATATAAAGCAGACAGGTAGAGAAAAAAAATTTTTTACATGCATTATTTTCAGCACACTGGAATGCAGTGGGCTCAGCACATTAGCTCTCCAACGAAAATAAATGCAAATCAATTAAAAATTCAGTTTCTTTTCTTTCAGCTAATTCCTCAGGTTTTGCTAATTAGTAACTAATAGTTCTGTCATCTGAGCTGGGAAACATAAGGAAGAATACCAGTGGTATGTTTTCAATCAAAGCATTTGCAGGGAGAAATGAATCATATTTTCCATGAGGAATTGTTGCTTGGGAGGAGTCTGGAGCAGGAAAAAGCAGTCTTCATACAACTGTAAAACTAGAAAAGAGACCTGAAATTTTAAAAAAGGAGGCATCTCTACTCCCTTTAACAAAACCAGCAGGGGCCTTACATGACATGACTTGTGAATCCAAGAAACTCTGCACAAAGATTCCTGTAGGGACAGTTAGAAAACTAGACTCCTCACAGTAAGACAAAGACAATGAAACACATGTTTTCTGTAACAGGGAAGGGAATAAAAGTTAAGTGTCGGCCACGGGACAGGAATGCTTTAACTATTATGTCACCTGCCTCTGCAAGTTTATAAAAGAATAAATGTATGGCAGTAAGTGAAATCAGGGGGTGATGGTGGTTTGAAATAGCTGAGTACAGAGGGACCGGGGGCAGAATGAAATGGCTAAGAAATCTACACATGAAATGGGGACCCTAGTCCTGCCTGCAATACAAGCAGATCAGTTCCCTCAAATCCCTCCACTCCCACCCCCACACCCAATTATAAAGTGCTAGGGGTCCTAAAGCCTCGAGCCTGTCAGCACCATCCCAGGTCTCAGCCCCACAGTTTGAACGTCTACTTTCTTGCTTGATATACAGCCCATCCACAGCTACCCTTCCTGAGAAAACACTCCCCCAGTGTCCCCTCTGAGGATTTTATTCTAAACATATGTTAGGTCTGTTTGAAGTACCCTCTATCCCTGGGATTTCTTTTCCTTTTCTTCCCTTTTTTTAAAGTCAAACCCACAAAACCTAAAATTCTTTGATTCCTGCCTAACTGCAATTTGTGAAGATGCAACTCTGCATACCCACGTATAATAAAGTCTTGTGCAATAAAAATTTTACAGATGTCCTTCTGAGGAGAAAAAAAAAAAGATTTTCCCTTTTCCGGTCTTACAGGAAGCCTGCCCACACTTTAGAAATACAAAGTTAGTATATATAGAAGCACAAATTAGGCATCTTGGAAAATCTACATTTTCCAACCACAGAGAAATGAAGGAATTACTGTGAGTATGCACATACCCAGCTACACTGGATTAGAGGAATCTTTTCTCTCCAACAGCCTGGTGCAGGCTGGCCAAGGACTTGGAGGAAAAGGGAATGGCCAAAAAATTGTTTCTGAATCCAGCAGCAGAAATCTAGAAAGTTAAAGTCCTCTCCTATCTCTTTGCAATTTAATTTAGGACATCTTTAAATTATTTAGTGAAATATCTTTCCACATGTGTTAAGCTTGTATTTGGTACAGAAAACACTTTTTGCCAAAAATTTAAAATGTTAAAACTTCACGAGCTCATTTACAAACTTTACATTTCTTTACATACAAAATAGTTGGAAAAAGTTGGTTGATCCAATAAAGTTCAGTGGGAAGGTACCATGCTCATAAGGCTAACATACAGTTACAATCAGAACCACTCTTTTCCTAAAGTTTACAATCCACTCAATCTCTAGTCTGTCTACAGAAGTCACCGATGCCAGGGAGACGAGGGAGTCAGGATGGCAGAGGAAAACGAGTCTACCCTGAACCAAACACTAAGACAAAACTACCAAAAATAACTTAATTTGAAGAGTGAACTTATTCACATGGAGATTATAAAGATGGGCGATGGTGATGGTGGTGGTGGAAGAGCAGAAGGCAGAGGGGGAAGTTAGAGGTAGATGAAAAAGAAAACTACCATAATAATTTTGAGGCAAAACTTTTAAAGAAAACTGCATTTGCATTGTTTCCCTAATTCTCCAGAAAACACCAGGCAGGCGTTGCTCCCATCACCCTCTTAAATTAGTAACGATTCTTTAAAGGAGTCAGCACACTTGGACAAAATCACATAACCATTAAGTGACAAAGTCAAACCCCATGTCTTCAGCCAACCTGTATAAATGCCAGGACTCCCTGCCCATACTATATATGTAAAGCTATCACTTATATATGACCAACTTAGGAGGAATTTGGGATGTTATATCAAATATCATTTATCATTTGTTTATAGATAATTTATACAGCTTGTAAGTTATATGTGATCTGAACGGTGATTTGAACAATACAATAGGAAAATGTGAAGAATAACCAAACTATTGGTGCCATTTCCTCTAAAAGGAGTGACAATGAATAGGCCCAGCTTCATTGAGAGGTCTCCAGGGTGGGTCCAGAGCTTGCACTGGAGACCCAGCAAGAAGTGATGAGGGGCCCACGTATGCAGGAAGGACCAGCCCCTCACAAGACTGAGACAGCGTTGAGTGGGCAAGCAATTAGAACAAATGGACCAAGAGTAAGCTACAAGTTCAATGGCACAGAGAGAAAGTTCACAATCATCTGCCTGCTTCCATCAGTCAAAAAGGGCTTGTCAGCTGTCCTGACCAATTAAATACCTCACTAATTACTGGGGGTCTGGAATAGAAAACAAAACATAAATATCAACTGGGAATACTCTGTATTCACACATAAGTACAAATACAATGCAGGGAAGGTGTGGTTAATAATTTAGAATTGACTCTTTGTAAAAGTAAGAGTGCTCAGGAAGTATTAATAGAGGTGGGAAGTATATGAGGATCCCACACTTTTCCACATGGACAATATCTAAACGAGACCCATAAATAAAAACACAGTATAGAAAACGTAGGGATGTGCTCAGAGGGAAAATCCTACCGAAACTACTTTAAACTCTTGCCCTAGAAGAAAAGTATCATGAAACAAGAAAAAACTTTAAAAGACTAAATAAACTTGAACATTACACCTTATTTCTATAATGTCCTTCTTATTTCTATAATTGAAAAAATAGCAACTGCAGCATTTTGACTGATAAACACTTTTTAAACAGATGTTGTAGTCTTTTTTGAAAGCGCGTAAGAATTCATAAAACCCTTTCCTCCATGCTTTCTATGCTTCTGACCACTTTAAAAAACTTCTTCACTTAAAAAAAAAAACACATCTTCAATCTTTACCAACAATATAATCTGGTGGTGGGGAAGCAGTTGCTAAGACTTAAGGTTGTGCGAGGCACTTTGATCTGCACCCTGATGAGGGAACATTCTCCTCTCTGCAAGCCAACTAATGAAGGGATGAAATTAGCTTTTATCCTGGGCACTTTCTTGAGCAAAAAAACATGCGCTAATCAGCTGTCCTCACTAATCAGTCATCTGGCTAATGACCTTTTGCCTTAAAACACTAAAATTTCTGAATGATGTGGAAAAGGGAAACACAAACCAGTCCCCCTCTCTGGAGCTCAATGGATCATCTGGAATTGGAGTCGGGAAGGTGAAATGGCAAGCCTGTATCCTGGCAAGGTGATAAATCTGTAATCAAGAGCTGCAAGTCTTGGCACCTCAATATGAACCTCATTACTCCACAACCAAATTATATTTTTAACTAGAAACAGACCAGAAACAAACTCAATCCTTCTATAGCTTTCTTTAAATTTTCTGCCTTTGTAGAAAATCATAGTGTATCTGTGTTCACAGTCCTAGTGAATTTCTTAAACTTTATTACCGCTGGGAAAAGAGCTTCCGATGTACCTGGTATGCTGATTGGAGAAGTAGAGCAAGGTAGAAAAATCTTTCATATTAAGAAATTTAGCACTGATTTGTTAAAAGTTTGTTCTTCCTTTATAAGTAAGCAAAAATAATTAAATATTGGAATAGGCAATGGTAAAGACTTTCACTAATGCAGCTCACTTCACTAACTCCCCCATCAACTAATTTTCCTCCTACAGTCTCCTTGGATGTAACTATTCTGGTTTAGTTCCCAGAGAAAGTCCACGTGGACTAGTCACAAATGGACACCTTCCTGAGGGCAGCCTACTGGTATCTGAAGTTGGTTGGAGATGTAAGGAGATGGCTCTCCCTAAAAAAGAAGAATGGACAGCCGATAGGAGGATTAAGAGAAGTGGACAGAAAATAAAGCATTTCTATAAATTAATACAAGCCAAATAATTCACCAAGCATATGTGCATGCCAGTGTGACAACTGCCATGTGCACACGCGCACGCGCACGCACGCACACACACACACACACACACAGAGCTTTCCTGTGCTCCTGGAGGGAGTGTCACAGGACAAGAACCACTTACGATAGTGGGGTTCCATGTAGCCATTCCTGGGGTCCATGGCAAACACGGCCCCTCGATAGGGGACGGAGGGCTCGGCCAGGTGCGGCAGGGACCCATGGATCTCCTTCTTGATTAGTGAGGCCCTCTCATCACTGGATGTTGAGGGCTCCTCACTGATCTTGCTGAGTCCCTGGACACTCTGTGGCTGCATGGTGACTGCGTTTCTTCTCTCTCTGTGATAGGTCTGTCCAGGACTTTCATCCTCTGAAGAAAGAAGGAAGGGAGAGTTCTGTCAGTCACTTTCAAGAGTAATTATCAAACAGTAATCAATTAGGGGTCTCTCTCCATCCCTCCACCCCAAAAAGGAGCCTGGCTCTCATTCTTGACAACTCTGAAGGCTACACCAGGATAAGGCTGTTCCGACCGGACTGCCTATCAATGAGGGTCCCAAGTCCGAACTGAAGGACCCAGGGAACAGGAAATGAAGCTATTATATTGAGATATAGTGGGCCAAGCAAAGCATCACACTAGCTGACAAGCTTATCTGCCAAGGAGGCTTTTTCATCAGGGACTTGTGGATATTCCTATAGATCCCTCATGGAGCTATACGTTTTGCTGGTCTGGGGCTGTGGAAGTCCAACTATGAGAAAATGATCTCAAAGTTTTCCTGTTTTCTTTTTTTAAGTCAGATTGTAACCCAGTGATTCAACCAAGTCAGAAATGGGACAAAAAAACAAAAACAAAACAAAACAAAAAAACATCGGTTACAAAGGATAAAGGTGCCAATCCTGGAAACCTACAGTGCCCCATGCTGGAACACTTCCTGCTTAGTGCACACAGTGGAACTGAGAACCAAGAGGAAAACAGAGCAAGACTGGAAGTCCACTAGGTGAGGAATCAGTTATGCTGATATACAGACGGGCCATGGCGGGTTCATATGCTTCTCCAGATATGCAGGAAACAGCTTGATGAAATCTCACATATATTTGATATTCCAGCTCCCTCAAATGCTGTTCCCTTTGATCTGTAAGAACTTCCCATCTAGCCACTAAGGTTCTTTGCAGATGTGACTGGATGACCTTACTATAGTAGCAGATTAAAAAAAGCATAAAATTAAACCAACCTGGCAATCTGAACCCACAACAAATGGACAATTCATTTACTAGAATCACACACATAGTCTAAACTACATACTTCGAAACAAGTCCTGCATTTAATCTATAGACTGTGATCTGACAGGTACATGCTGATGGAAACAAAGCTATTTGGGCACTGCTTACACATCTAATTTTGAGACTGTTTCCCATTTCTGACCTTAAATATATGTGTGTGTGTGTGTGTGTGTATATGCACAAATATATTCATGTATATATATGTACATATATATGCACATATGCATATATAACATTTATAACATTTATATTTATATATGTATACTTATATACAAATATATTTGCGTTTAAGTGATAATTCTGTTGTACACATTTTAGATGGACAGATTTTGAGTATATCCTATTCCAACATACAAACTTATCTTCAAAGTATTCCATAAAGCAGATATGTCTGGCTGAGAGTCCCTAAAAAACAGAAAAAGTTTGCTTTAGCAGTCTCTAAGCTCTTTATACAAATGCAGAAGAAAGTATAGCTATAAATACAGACAAGCATAACAACACAAACTAAAGTACCAACTTTTTTATGTTGACTTGTGAATGATTCAAACTACCTAAAGCCACTAGCAGCTTTAGTTTTTCTGCTTACATCTGGGAGTTGAAGGAATAAGCAATGTATTTTTTTTCCAGCCTGGCAAAATGACTTGCAAAATAGAATAAACAATGAGGTATGTTCTGCTTTTTTACAGTGAATTTGCTGACTACTAACAGGTAACTGTGAAACATGATTCTAGTATTGTTTTGTGCAGATCCTCACCCCAAACTTTATGGGGTAAATTACTATTTTAATCTATCAAGTGACCAATGAAAAAACTGGTATAATCCCACATTTTTATGCATTGATCTTTACAAAAGCAATTCAAACCATGCTGTGGGTAATTTGAAAACTACAACAACAACAACAAAACCCTGCATTTTTGTTTTCCTTTCTGACTAATACTTTAGGCACTAGTCCACCCTATACTTCACTAGCAGTAAAGTTGGAGGCTATAGAATAAGATTTGTGGTTTTGTAAAAGCAAAAAGGTGTCTAAAACACCAGTTAGTATAAAATTTCCTATAGCCTACAAATGGTAAAAGTCATATTTTCCACTAATTTGCGTTCTATATAAAACATTTATTTCACTTCAACCTGAAGTGAACTTAGAGTTCTGAGGTGCAAATTCTATAGAATGGGCCTTTATTTAGAAAACCAGAAAGCCCTTTCCAAGAGGGACTGCAACTTGTAATTAGCATTCTCTAGAAGAGATGAATAACCAAGCTCTACTAATCTGTTCCAGGTTTAAAACAGGATTCCCTTGACTTAATCTTCCTAGACGAAATTAACTTTTCTTCTCTTAAAATTCCATCCCTATAATAGAGAGAGTTTCTTAGAAGCCATGCCTTTATGATGAGCATTTGCGAATCCAACTTCAGGAATAATTGAATAATTGGCAAGGTCTGGCCAGAGTCCTCCTACCTCCCCCAACCTTCTGGGAGAAGGAAGTAGTGTTGGGGGGGGGGTGTTGGAAATGGAGACTTCTTTTTAGCTAAATGATTTCTCACAAGTAGGAAAAATATTTTAACTTGTAGTTTTTTAATTTGATATTTTCTTAATGAGTTAATCCAAGACATATATTAAAGTCATAGTAATAAATAAGCAAAGTTCAAATGTTTAATATAGGAGGAAAAAATGCACTAATTCCCAAAGCAAAGTCAAATACAGGCACAAAATTTATTTTAATTTTTCATCAGGAAACAGACTATTACAGGAGTCAATGCTATCATTCCCTTACCTATCCCGCCCCCGCATTCCGCACCAAGAAATCCCAAGAGACAAATATTTCATGAAGTTTACCTGGTGTACTGAGATGGACATTCAGATGAAAACTTGACAGTACACACACAATCCAGAATACAAGCAGCTACGAGGCTTGAAAGTGCACTCTCCACAGTGAAAGGGAAACTTTCCAAGCAATATTCCTGCCTGCTCTTATAAATTTAGCAACCACTTCAGCAAGCCAAAAGACGAAAGCTGTCTAATCTTGTTCAGTTGAGCCACGCTGTTCAATAAAGTTTGAGAGTCAGTGCAGACAGGCTACGCCAGGCCAAATTATTGACAGAAACATACTGTCCACCATGGCAACAAGCAGAAGTCTGCAGCAAAAATGTAAGCAAACAGCCCACTGCTCCAGGAGCATCTGCCAGTGGACTTTAACAGCCAAACACAAGGCGACTGTTCATGCTTCTCTGTGTTTAACAGCTACACGCTTGGGGGTCAAACCAAAATATGCAATTCTAAGAAGTTTCCGGAAAAAATTACTTTAAATACTGTCATCATCGTCCGCTCTGTACCTCCTTCCTTCTGTACATCATGCTCGAGTGGAAGTTAACGAATTCCTGTCCCCAAATGGAGAGTTGCCCAAGCAGCACAGAGTAGAAACTGTCCCACATTTTCCAAACTCATGGAAACGCAACCGGCATGGAACTGGACACTCAGTGCCATAAAGGGACTGAGTTTACCATCAAGGGGTAAGGAAAGCACTCTGGTGGGGCGAAGCAGACACACACTCCCATGCATTTGCTCAACAACTCCAGTACAATTTCTCATGGCATCAAGGAAACAAGTCCTTTTTTACCTAGGACTCAAGATCAAAGTTTCACAGTTCTTCCAAAATAAAAATAAAACCCTGCACTGTGTAAGTAACTAAGAACACCGCCTGTCATCCTCAAAAATGAGTTGGAGAGGCATTCATAGCACACATGTACGCCTTTTTTTAAATCAACATTGATTTTTAAACTGTTCCATTAAATCCCATTTTAATGCCATCACTCCTCTCTTCCCCCAAGACATAGAAGACAGAGTGTAAGAGAACAGACAATACTTACAACTCAGTCCCCAAAGCTCTGGCTAGCTACTTCTGCAAACTTCTCTCGGTGGGCTTTCCTAGCTGTAGCAGACCCTCTAGGAACATGGGTTCTCAGTGTCTCCCTACCTCCCTCTCCCTAGCAGTGCTGCCCCGATTAGAGGAATTAAAAGTGGTTGGAGCCATGCTAAATTTAACAAGCTCATTAGTATTCTTTCTGAGTGCTTCCGAGTGAACTCTCCCTATTCAAGCAGCTCTCTCCAGCAGAAGGGTCAGGCGGCTAATCATTAAATCAAACTAATGTCACTCTATCACAATCAGCCCAAGAGAAGGAGGGTTTATTATTTCAGTTTATGCTAAATAAACGGTTTTACAAATGGTCCCCAAGCAAGGTCAACAGCAGCTTCAATTACAAGACAAACTTAACAAGAGTTGCTATAAACCAAGTACTCTGTATTGACTTAAGAACAGGCTCAACTCCACATATTGCCACTAGCAGGGTTGTACAGGAATGCATATTGTAAAATAAAGGAAGGGGGAACTTCTTTCTTTGCCAGAATTTGCGACTGCACAGCGACTCTTCATTCACCTCTCTCCAACCAGCTAGCCGCTCAGCTCAATTCACCCCACACAAAGGCTGGAGCCCAGACCTCAATGGACCGGGTGAAACATGTTCAAAACTAGGCTCTCTATTGTGACTGAATTTCTTAACATCTTTTCAAAAAGCGGAGAATGCCTTGAGGCTAAAGGAAGAAACAGGCTAATGGTGAATTGGGAATTCTGAGCAAATTTCAGAGCCCTTTCCTCCTAGCTTTTGAGGTTGAAAGCAAGCTCTTTCCTTTCAAGTTTCAAAGTCCTTTTTCCTCCCGCAGTGTCACAGAAGGATTTGAAAAGAAGGTAATTGTGCTCGCAGTCTCCCTGATCAGAGCTTACGTCCTATTTCTGGTATTTCGGAATACTTCTTGCAATAATAGTGCATATAGCTCAATCCCTTAACCGGCCTGCACTCTGCAATTGCTCATTAAATGAACAATTGCGGGTATAAAATGCCTTTTATGTTCAAGGTCTGGATATAAGATAAGCATTCTAGGACTCTAAATTTGGTTTACTAAGGAAACTCTCCATCATTAAATTACAAAACTGAAGTCAGAATATCAGGCTTTCCCAGAAAAGTGGCACTCAGATTTCAGTGAGCCAAGATGAGGGGTGGATGGGGGGTGGGGAAGAGGCAACAAAATCTTAAGGGAAGA